TGAAGCCTTCGTTACAAGTATCGCATTTGTAAGGGTACAATTTCGATGGTTCGTCCGGATAATGCTCCAACTTGTTGTGATGATAAAACTTGTACATTCCTTGAAACGACTTACCACATATTGCGCATAAAAAATCATTACCCTTGTAATAATACGTGTTATGCTCGACTAAACGTTCGTAGGATTCGAATAAAAATGGCATATATTACAGATTGGTTTATCTTCCACAGCGCAATCGGAATTCATCACCAGCCTAGAATCTTGCTCAATATGTAAGTGTCGTTCGTGAATTTGAAGACTCTGTTTCTTGACAAATCCTTGATCGCAGAACTTACAAAAGAATTTGTAGTTCACCGAACACGAAGGCGCATGAGTAGCAAGCATGTGAAACTGTAAGAATCTTTTAGTGGAAAACATCGTGTTACAAACGTTACACTTTTCTGTGGCTGTTTGGCGATAGGTGCGCTCGTGTATGCACAAATTTTTAAGTGTTCAGAATTGTGTTCCACAAGTAGTGCAAGGAAACTTTGTTCTATTCATCTTGTCCGCTTGGTGACCCTTTACGCATGCAATCCCATTAAGTAACCTTCTGTGCTTTGCAGATGTACCGAATGACGAAGAGAAAGTATAATCCGTAATAGGCGTACTCGTAATCAAATAATTTTCCAAAGATCTTGTCGTCCCACACGAAACGTCCGACATTTGTTCCAAATCAGGCGACTGTGTCGAGTGCCATGTCACTTGGTTCTTTCAAGGACCGAGACAAGTGGTTTACATAAGGTACACGTTGTTTATTTCTTAAGACTTTCATTCGACGACATACATTCTCGTGTTGTTTCAAACACGAGTATAGCCAAAATCGTTTGCGACAACCTTTGCATTTGTGTTGTTTCTTGAATGCATTGTAATTTATTTCAACACCAACCGGTGAAGCGTCCTTTTTTGATCTTATGATCTTCAAACAGTGCAAAATCATGTGTCGTTTCAACAATGCCGACGTGTCAAACTTCTCATAACACACGCAACATTCCCTTCGTTTAAACACAATATGCTGACGTAGATAATGAGTTAGTAACTTATTCATGGACGTCTAACGCGCGTTGCATATGCTCGAAATGTAAATCGTATGGAACAATTTCATGTGCTCGTGCAGGTTCTGCTTCGAAGAAAACGATTTTTTACAAATATGACATTGAATTATTTTTTGCTGATAGACTTTAAAGTTCTTCTGAAATTCAACCGATTGTTGTTGAGGTACGATTAATCTATCAGCGAAAGACTTTACAAATTCACTGAATCGCTTTGACGCAATCGTGTCAGCTTTCAAAGTCAAGTTACATGTCGAGCTTGTTTCAGGAAAACCTTCAAATTCCTCTTTCACATTTTTCAATACTGCTTGCTTGAAAGCATCTTCGTTTTCGTTTTCCTTTTCGTTTTCGTCTTCGTCTTCGCTTGACACAAAACTAGTAGGCTCCAAGAATTTGTCGCATTTCTCCAAACGGACCACGCATTCTTTATACTTGGCTTCAGGTGCAGATCTTCTACTTTGGTCAAATATATAGGGGAACTTGTTTCTTTTAAAAGATTGTCTTGATCTTCCAAAGGTCTCAAACTGCAATAAATCGTAGAAATCATATAAAGAAGGTCTTTTCACTGACCTAAGGTTGTAAGGCGTACTGTGCGAGGTATTAGAGCTTCCAGGTTCAGCTTTTATTTCATTCCTTAATAAAGATATCATTGTTTTTATATTCACATGAGTTTGAACAAATGGTCGTTTCCTAACAGAAGATTCGATTCGCTCAACAGAAGTAGACACCTGAATAACTTCTGCAGCCCTTGATGTCTTGTTACTAAATGTGTCAAGCGTTGAAGTTGGAATAATACTCGCATTAACAGGAATATTCTCCGTATCGATAAAATTTTCCGGGCTAACCCATTTGTCATTCGGTTTGTCTTTGTACGTCGATATGAAGTCTGTAAGGACGGTCTGCTTCATCCTTTTCGAAGGTGTACCATGCGAATCGTTTAACCATTTCGGGTGCGTAGACTTGATATTGCTGCTCGAACCCTTGGTGGGTGTACTGTTTAAACTATTAGATGGTATCAAAGATATATTTTTTGAGCTATCTACGTTTTTTGGGCAGGGACTGTGTGAAGTATTTGATTCTGCCATGGCTATACCATCCGAATGATTCGACTTTCCTAACGATTCAGGAGATGTTTTCGTGATTTTGCTTTCACCAGAAAATATTGCGTTTCCATGCGCATGGAATAAATGAGATTGGATATGTCTTTTATAGGAAAACCTTCGGCTACAAAAATTACATCTATATCCAGACAATTGTTTCGTACGACATTGCCTCTTTAAATGACGTATCAAGTAAATATGCATAGTGAAAATTGCAGTGCAATTATTACACTTAAATACATTACAGGTATATAATTTGTCATGCTGATCAAATGAATATTTAGTTCGAAAAGTTAACAAACAAACGTTGCAACTTCTTCTGTTGTTTGAAGGTACTTTATGTTTACTTTTTCGTTTATCAGGATCCGATTTCTTATTATCTAGATACGTACTTTCTTGAGGAAACGCGGATTCTTCATATTCAGAATAAACGTTATCCGAAGATTTACCTTTAAACGTCGCTGTTTCATTTTCATTCCCTGTATTCGTATCAACTGGCGACAAATCATCGCAGATCTCCGGATCTATTGGCTCTTCTTTTATTCTTATTGCATAGTCAGAAGGCTGAAAAAAATATACAAACCTAACGTAACATTCTGAAAAACGAAAAATCTATGAAACAGTCCTAGTCTAGTAATTGAAGCCAATCGTGCCATAAATATCATGGATTGGATAGAAAGCTATGTATAGAGCTACAAAACTAGATAGTAGAAAGAACGATTTATGACGTCATATTTATGAGTTAGCCAGGTTCTACCATTAAAAACATGAAAAACATAACTGCACAAATCCAGAATACTACATACATAAGAAGAGAGGTGTAAATTTTGTGTAAATTTACAGCTTCATTAGAATTGCAACGAAACTTTTCCTCAACTACTAACACTTATCATAGGATATGGCCGATCGATATTTTCAAACTATTGTGTAGCGAAGTGGATTATATTGAACTCTCAATTATATTCAAATGTAAGAAAAATCAGATTCGCATACGATATTTTTAGCATGGTTGTTTAACGTTATTTCATGAATGTATTTTTCCAGGTAACAAATTGGCACGAAGCAACGAGCGGTTCTTCTACATGTTTAACAAATTGTATATTATAAATGAGAAATGAAATATACGACAGAGCAAAAAACGCCATGCAAATCTCTAAAAATTCAATATCATTTGAAAATATAAAAAAACAACTCAAAAAGTTTACAAAAATCACCATGAATTGTTTAAAGTAGAAATATTTGTATTCAATTCGATGGAAAATATTGTAGAATCAATCGCGATCAGTAACCGGTGTGAGAAACAGTCAATGGTAGTAACTGGTCAAACGGAAGGAAAACGTGACTGTCAACGGTGCTTACATACGCTGAAACACTGATACGATGAACGCATCAACGTTTTTTGATCTTTTATGGTGTATATTGGCTTGCATCGATGCAGAAAGTAATATTATTTTCTTAATTGGTAGGCAAAGCCATTGGGTATATATTAAGTATATATTGATATACTGACGTCATTTCACGAGACTTTAGAGTCGATGCGTAACGTCATTACGATACGTTTCAGCTATACAGGCTGCTCAACGAATTTTCTACGCTAGACTATACTAGAACTACTGTCCCGATGCTGTTCGGGCAGTAAGGGACATATGCAAAATTCCTCCCTTTCACTATTGTAAATTTTGTGTAAATTTACAGCTTCATTAGAATTGCAACGAAACTTTTCCTCAACTACTAACACTTATCATAGGATATGGCCGATCGATATTTTCAAACTATTGTGTAGCGAAGTGGATTATATTGAACTCTCAATTATATTCAAATGTAAGAAAAATCAGATTCGCATACGATATTTTTAGCATGGTTGTTTAACGTTATTTCATGAATGTATTTTTCCAGGTAACAAATTGGCACGAAGCAACGAGCGGTTCTTCTACATGTTTAACAAATTGTATATTATAAATGAGAAATGAAATATACGACAGAGCAAAAAACGCCATGCAAATCTCTAAAAATTCAATATCATTTGAAAATATAAAAAAACAACTCAAAAAGTTTACAAAAATCACCATGAATTGTTTAAAGTAGAAATATTTGTATTCAATTCGATGGAAAATATTGTAGAATCAATCGCGATCAGTAACCGGTGTGAGAAACAGTCAATGGTAGTAACTGGTCAAACGGAAGGAAAACGTGACTGTCAACGGTGCTTACATACGCTGAAACACTGATACGATGAACGCATCAACGTTTTTTGATCTTTTATGGTGTATATTGGCTTGCATCGATGCAGAAAGTAATATTATTTTCTTAATTGGTAGGCAAAGCCATTGGGTATATATTAAGTATATATTGATATACTGACGTCATTTCACGAGACTTTAGAGTCGATGCGTAACGTCATTACGATACGTTTCAGCTATACAGGCTGCTCAACGAATTTTCTACGCTAGACTATACTAGAACTACTGTCCCGATGCTGTTCGGGCAGTAAGGGACATATGCAAAATTCCTTCCTTTCACTATGTTGCAAATTTGTATAAGAATATATATACACGCGGGTAAACGCACACGCGTATCTGTGCCTCGTTATAACCGTGTGCGGAAAAATTTTGTATATAAACTCATAGCAGCAATATTTTTCATAACGCATACAGAAATTTAAACCTGGGCAT